AGTACAACTTTTTTTTTGTCTTTCAGTGGAGTCTTCACACTCTCATTCTGTACCTCTTCTTTCATTTTCTTTGTTCTTCTTTACTACTCTTATTCTGTTTTATTTTGCTTCTGCTTAGTCGTTAATGTACTGTATAATAAGGCTGTTACAAATTCCATCTTCTCACTCTCAGCACTGTTTGTGATCATTCTTAGATTAAAACAATAGATATTTTCCTTCTGAGTATGTATGTTTTTCATGTCTGCTGAGAAGATTTGCACAACTCAACGTGCTCTGTGTATTGAGTCTTGCATTCTGTTCTAGAATGTATAAGCAGTTGGTTTTGGCTTTTCAAGACTAACTGGGTCCTTGTACGGCTAGTGTTGGCTAACACAGTATTTCTGGAGACAGTGCCTGCATCACAGCTGTGAGGCTCGTAATGCCTTACAAAATACTTCCAGGCCCTTGCCCACAAAGGAATGTGGGGTAGTATTGCCTTGTGCAGGATCCTGGGGCCCCATGCACACCAAGGACAGAGCTGGAACAGAGGTGGGGTGTGATGTTTGGTTAACAAGCCCAAATAGCGTTTCTGTGACTCGATGACAAAAAGGACAGTCAAGCCAAGGACTCTGCATGTCCTAAGGTCTTTAGCTGGTCCAGGACACTTGTGTGGAGAAGAGGTTGTGCCTTGCTGCCTTAGTGAGAGTCATGGTTGTGTAAGTCTTTCCATGCCCAGGTGTTAGTTTTAGCCCAGTCTCGTGAAATCCCTTGTTGTTACAACGCAGATGATTGGACCACTGATCTGTATTTTTCTCTATACAGTTACTTAGAGGTAAACTGTTCATCCATGGAGCTGTTGCTCTGGTGTCTGTTACAATGTCCTGAACCTGTAACTTGGCAAGGCTGCCTTAAGCCCAGGCATTCTGGTATCAAAAGCGGGATGGATATACTGTCCATGGCATCATGACAAGCCCAGATCTTGTGGTGGGTGCCTGAATTGAGTATTTTAAGAGCTTGCCCTGCCCACTGACATGAAACTCAACTTTGATTAGAGAAAGTCAGAAAGACAGAAACGTGAAGGAAAGGCTGCCCTACTTAGGTCTCTTAGCCCATTGCCTTTGAGATACCGAGCAGCATTTGAAAGCAGCCAAGGCCATTGAAATGACCTATGAAAAAGAGCTGTCCCACAGCCAGTCAGACATTGGGGCTACAATAGAGGAGAAAATCTAGCCTCTGCCTGTGTCAGGCAGGTGTCAGGCTAATATGGAGAAAGTAAAGGAACACATGGTGCCACATAGAGCAGTCTCTGACTGGGAAAACCAGCCGTTGTCTGGAAGCTGTGGAAAACCAATTCTTTGTAGATACAGAGCCAGAAGACAGGTATGATAGTTATCAGACCCAGACTCAGGCAATGCTGTGTCAGATTCCTTTCTTCCTGAAGATTTAGTAATCTGAGCAGCTGCTGAAAAAAGAACATAATGCTACTGGAGTTATGACAGGCTTCCCTGCCTGGATTTTTATCTGCACAGACCTAGACAATGGAAGAAGGAACGGAAGATGTGTCTTCCTCTGATCTAGTGGAATGTGTTCTTCCTATGCAGGGAGCTTGGAACTAGATGATCTTTAAGGTACTTTCCAACTCAAAATGTTCTATGATTCTGTGATATGTGGTGCAGATTTCATGCATGAATTTCTCTGGCTCTTCAGATGTACTGTGCACATATGTTACAACGGGTGGTGGCTCAGCTTGGACATCAGAGGACTACAGTTGTCTAATGTTGAGGTAGTTTAACTACTGTCTTGTGCTTTCATTGCTCTTTATAATATTGAATCTGAATGAGGTCAGAAAGTAAATAAGCCTGTGCCATGGTACATTTAGCCACGGGATGTACACAGAATCTGCTATTTTTTCTTCCCAGTGCTTGAGTTCCAAAAGTGCAGAAAATGTGCTTTTGTCAGATTTTAAACTTAGTGACAATGTAAAAGTTTTCATTTAAGAGTCAGGACAATTTTGATTGAAGTTAGAGATCACAGGCACACTGTTTTAGTGCTAGAAAAGGAATGATTACTGAAGTGGGACCAAGGGAGCCTTTAACTTACCAGACACCAAATCACTGAGTGACAGAGCTTGTGTGTACTGAGGTTTGTTTCAGTTGGTGGTGCTCCACTCAGTAATGAATCAAAACCAACAACAGAGGCTTTGGTAAATGTGGACACAAGAGTTATGGGAAGTACTTGTGGGCTGAAAGGTCACACCACTCTGTGTAAGGCAGAGAAATGGAAGGGTAAATGAAGCAGGTGTCTTACACTTCTATGCCAATAATACATTTTACTTAGGGGAGAGATTTCTTGAACTCTGAACGTGTCAAAGCTGTTGAGCGGTTTATAGTATCGGTGGTGAGACACCAAATGAGTAGGGGGCATCCTGAAAGAAGCATTCACCCGGAAGGAGTACAAACACTGCTGTAATAAAAAACAGGACTCTGAAGATCCTTCTAAATGAAGCTAGGTGGTGCAGTTGGCTAGCGTATGAGCTGTTGCCAGCTGGGGACCGTTTTAAAACAAAATTAAATTTATTAGCAGGTGGAAAGCAAACATAAGAGACCAAGACAATAGAATATGTGAGCTATGAAAGGCTGTAAATAATACTTTTCTTGTGTAAACATTCTGTGGAACACTACTTACCTGAGAGAAATTATAGACATGAGGATGGTCTTTCTAAGCAAAAAGGTCAGGTCAGGATAAGGTTCAGGACCCAGCTCCCAGCCCTGGTGTGTCTTCCATCCATGACCTTTTATAACTTGATAAAATGTTTAACTTGCTTATAACTACCCAGTCTCTTATTGAGGTGTTTATCTGTATTGCTTGTCAGGAGCTTTCAACAGAATGCTTGAGAAGTGGTGTGGCCTAAGCTCAAGGACTATGTGCAGGTTTGGGCACCTCAGTATAGGAAGGACATCAGGCTACAGGAATGTGTCTGGAGGAGGGAAGCCAAGAAGAGGAAAGGTCTCCAGAGCAAATTGGGAGGAGTGGCTGAGGTCAAATGGCTTGTTCAGCCTGGAGAAGACCAGGCTGAGGGGTAAGCTCATGGCAGCCTACAACTTCCTCGAGGAAGACAGCAAACAGAGAGGTGCTGATCTCCAACTTGTGTTGCTGAGGACAGGACATGAGGAAATGGCATGAAGCTGCATCAGGGGAAGTTCAGATGGGACATTAGGAAAAGATTCTTCACTAGAACAGTGGTCAGTCAACAGAACAGTCTCTCCAGGGAAGTGGTCACGGTCCTACTCACTGTGAAGAGTTTAAGGAGCATTTGGGTGGCACTGTTAGTCATATAGTTTAGTTTCAGGTAGTCAGGAGAGGAGCAGGGAGTTGGACTCAATGATCCTTGTGAGTCACTTCCAACTGGAGATATTCTATGTTTCTGTGATTTTCTCTCTTCTCTTTTTTTTTTGTGCGCTTCTGTAAGTAGTAACTAGATTTTCAAGAAAGGGCTAGATCAGTTCTGTGTGCATTGGCAAAGTATCTGCATTTCTGCTTTTAGTGACTGCTATAAACAGGCAGGATTGAGATGAGAAAGTTCAGTAGACTTGTACTTGCTTGAGACTTTGCTGTAGTATGTGCTGGTATGATTTGCAGTAATATTAAAACAAGAACAGCAAAAAAAGGAAAGTATGCAGCCCTAAAGTCTCTTGAACAACGCCTCTGGATGTGTCTTCTTGGGCCTCAACTCCTTCTGGCACAGCCAGGCTACTGCAGGACCTGGTACAGTCACTAAAAAGGCTACCAGGGATATGAATGCTTCACTGCACCATAAAGAAGGAGAGGAAAAAGGTATCTAAAGATTTAAAAGAAAAGGAAGCTTTAAGCATTAAAGGGGAAAAAAAGGGGAAAAAAAAAGTTTGAAAATAATTTATGTATTTTTAATCTTGAATACAGAAGCGAACACTTATTTTGTCAAGTAGTGCTGTTTAAGAATCACTCTTGTCTCCTATTGTTTTCCCTTGGTACAGATTTGTTACTACTTTCACAATCTATTTAGTTTATCTAAAAATGGTGAAGATAGCCCACAATAATCCTGTACTTGGATGACAGTGAAATTCTTGGTGTGTTACTACTTCTCTCTGCCAATCAAGATG